CTGGTAATTAAAAAAGTTTAATTCAATTCATCCATATATATCTTATGAAATAAAATATTCTATTATTTTATATAGTAATTGAATGGGATGTATTATTGGATGCGTTGTCTCATGAAAGTGATGAATCAGAAGCAGTGTCTACTGTTGATATATTGGTACATATTTTATTAGAAGGTTTTTAATATGTATGTTTAAAAGGAAAAGAGAAAAAATTATAATATTTAAAATTTTTTTTTTAAAAAGGAAAGTTATATGAGACCAAATAGTATTCTTATTATAGGCTTGAAACATTATCACGAAGATTCTGATACAACTCCTGGTCAAAGGGTAGCAGAAGAGAAGAATTTAAAGGTATAAACAACCGAATCATTAATAATATTGTTAACATTGTTTATTTATTTAAGTGATAATCTAACCTTGTTATATTTTTATTCAAAAAAAAATAACAATAAAAAGGTTATATTATTGTCACTTGCTCTACAAATGCTGGCTAATGGAATTGAAATGAATTTGGAACAAATTATCAAACTCAAATATTTTGTTGCGCACAATTTGGGGTTTATTGATAGTAGGATAGATAACTCCAATGGAGTGATGAGTTTTCATTTTGGTGAGTTTCGTTATGTTCCTGATGATTTTACCCAAAACATGATGATGGTATCCATTTTAGGAAATCTCAAAAGAGTACTTGATACGCCTATATATCTTAATAACGATAAAGAAGAGTTAGAAGATGGCAAAGCGTCATCTGAAAATGAAATGTTGGCAGGTGGTTACTTTATAGAGATTGTGTTAGCTATGTTTAATTCTTCTGCAGATATGACAAGTTTAAGTCATCTCATGTTAAAAACTTGGATTGAATTGTTGCTTATAATAGTTTACAAGGTATACTATAATTATTAACGCGATTTTTTTTAGCGTCTTTTAATTTTACATACATCTATATTTGTTTAATTTAATAATGTATTTTATCACATAGCACAAAATTGAAAATAAGTATAATCGTGAGCTAGAAGAAAGTTTAGTGAGCGCAATGAAAAAATTGTCTGAATTATTGTCTAAAGATATTACAGATGAAAATAAACAACTTATAGTTGAACTTTCATCATCACTGTTAAAACGTGCGCCCATGTTAACAGTTAATGTACTTGGTAAACAAATAATTACATTGGCAAAGCTCTTGACAAGTTTAAAGGCTGACTCATCAAATGCTTTGGTTGTTAGTGCAGTTAATTTTTTGAAAAGCACGTTTCTTAAATTTGCAAGGAACGGTTTATTTGTTTTAATATTCAAGGTTTTATATTTTATTTAGTATTTTATTCTTTTAATAAAATAATAATAATGGTAATGAAATTAATGATCATAATATTATATTATGATAATCAATTAGAATCAAGCAGTTGGAGATGAAAATAACACCGAACTTAATATGTTTAAACTACTTGGTGATGTTATTCGCGATGAACAAATCCCAGTTGAGGATGAATGTTTTGGTCCAAGATATCTCCGTGATGAACCGATACGAGATGTTATTAACCAATTGTTTAAGTTCACTAATAGAAGGATAGTCTCAACAATTCTGTCAAACCTAAATAAATATGTAGAATTGGTTTATTCAAAACCATACAGCGAACAATTAATAAACGGTAATTATGAATATTTATGATGAAAAAAAAAAAATAAAGCTATAGGAATTAATATTATATTTTATTTATTAGATTTGAGTCAATTTTTGACAAAGTTGACAAGACATACTAGTGAGTGGAAACTTGCTGATTGGGATGCTAACCCTGTATTGAACATGATTGCAGTAATAATGAGAGATAATCCTGTTTACTCCAAGGTTTGACAACATTACACACACACATATATTTACACAAATTTACAAATATATAGATATAACATTTCATTATTAATATGATATTTTTTTGACTTGTTTAATGTTACTTGTATTATAGAATTTAGTCGCGCCAATAAAAGGTTTTTTAAGACATTCTATTAACAAAGGCTCTGTTAGGATAGATACATTTTTAAAGTTGTTAGCAGCTTATACAACAGTCAGTGAAACAATTTCTCCAGATGATAAAATTAATGTTTTTGGTGAAGTAATTCTTGAAGAAGTTAAATCAACCTTTAGAGGTTCTAGATCAAGAATGAGTCGAGATACCCTAATAATTTTGTCGCAGGTTTAATTGTTTAACTAATACATTCATTCAAATGTTAATGTCGATCAAATTAATAAAATTAACTAACGATATATATGTGTATGTACACATATACATACGCGTTTATAGCTTATATTATGGGATATGCAACCTTCATCGCATTCCTGGTTTAAAAGTATTGAACTAAAGATGGGCGTCGGGTTAAATGACAATACTACTAGTAATAATGACGGAGGTTTATCATCTGCCAATGTATCAAATCAACGACTTCCATACTTTTCAAATGTTGTAGATAATTTATTTGATGATTGTATACAATTTTTGGAAAATCCTCATGTGACTAAACAATATTCCAAAAAAGAATTTAAAGTAGGCGTGTGCGCTAGTCAGTTAGCAGTGGCAATGTGTGGTTTAAAATATGATTTGTTGACTAAAATATTTTTATCGCAAAAGGTAAACGATAACTTATAGTTTTTTATTATTATGTATGAAATACGCTCTAAACAAATATTCACATTGTGCAAATTAATTTTTGAATAAACAAGCCAACGGATCCACGACGGACTATTCGTCTTTTAAATTGGATTTTATTGGGAATAATTAAATCTGATCCTTCACCTGGGCTAATTACAATTATTACGACTGTATTTGATTTTCAAGATACCCTCACTGATTTATTATCACATTTTATGAGTCAACCATTTAACGAAATTATAGTACCGGATATGAATTATCTATATACACCGTCTGGGGAGTCGGTTTACCAGGCATTTGTGTTTATAAAAATATGGACGGTATTATGTGCTCAAACATCCTCATCAAACGACAAAACAAATGCTGCCGAAGTAACTAAAGTGCATCTAAGACTTGCAACTTCTTTAACTATGGCTGAAAGAAGATTTTGGAACATTATTTGGCCTTCTATGAACACGCAGTTGGTGTCGCGCATTGTTGATAAAGAAGTTCAAGTATGTAAATGCTTATATATATATATATTCATTTATGTATAATGTAGATATAGATGTAGATGCAGTAAATATAGTTGTATATTTATATTTAAATGATTAGAAAGATGTTAATAATTATTATTATTATTTCTAAATAGCCGAATGGGATAGTATATTGGGAAATGTTTATGGATTTAATAACATTTCTTCATTTGTCTGGATCTGATATTGTCATGTTATACTCACATGAATGGGCTACATTATTAGATAGTCTGATAATTGAGGTATTATTTAATAGTCATTTAATTGCTTGACTCAAATATGTATAATTTAGAAAATTTAATATATATTGTGTATTTTAGGATGGAAGCAAAAATCCCGAGTTTCATCACAAAATAAAACAAGCACGTTCTATGTTTGATAAACCACCATTAATGATGCAGGAAAACGATTTAACAACACAATTGTTTATTGAAATGAGAGAGGCGATGAGATTATATTGTGAAATCAACAATAATTCTAGTGGAAGATTATTTGGTGCATATTAATTAACATTATAATATTTTTCATATCATATTATTTATATATTTTTATTTATTTATTAATTAATTCGTTCATTTGTATTTATAATTCATTTTTAATTAACTATTTATTAATTTAATTTTACAGTATTATAAAATAAATTTTCAATTAATTATTACGATTGACTTGCAACAATAAATGTCTATTATATTTATGTAACTAACAAGTATAAATATTAGTTGGGATTATCATCGTGTTTTTATTTGAAATATTTTAATACTAATTAATAATTTACCTATTATGTAATGCAATATACTGATTTTACAGATACCTCAAATTTATGACAGTAGCAACATTGTGCGAACCGCAAACAAAAGTTCCCAGCCCCTGCTACTACAAATTCACACAATGAGCCGACTCGCACAACTAAGGTAATGGGGTCAAAAACCATTCATCTCCAGCTAACTTCCCTATCATTGTTATTGTTTCCTCTTGTAGTATCCTTAACTATCTGTTTTTTACAAGCCAACTTACATTTCTTGGATGTTGCTGACCTTCTTGTTACATATCTCTAAAAGAAGAAGCGTTGACAAGTAAAGTAACATGTGTTAATGAGTATCATAAAAGTCACATTTTGTAAGTAATAAATTCAAAATTTTCCCCTTGTTAATATTAACAAACTATCAAATTAGGTGTAGAAATACAGATGATCAAGTTTCAGTTGAGAGGAAAACCATTTATCTTTTTCTTGAAAAACGTAGAATTTGTGAGGAGCCTTTAGCTATCTTTTTATAGTAAATATATATATATAAAGTTATACATTTCCTATTCTCATTATTAAAGAACGACTCTCGATAATGGCATAATTCGATAAATTCATAAAATTTGTTGTGCCAGATCTATATTATTATAATATTTTAAATTATTTGAAGCGCTTTTTAAATTAGAGAATGGCATAACATTTGCTTTATTCGGTCTGTTCTTTGACTTGGATTTTTAAGCATTAAAAGAGGGAATCCATTAATATTAACATGTCCTCTTCAATGATTATTTGATGAAAAGATTCTACAAATTTACAAGTGTTATTATTATTACTATGCTTTGTAAACAAGAACACGAACACCTATTTCCATTACCGAAGGTAAACTGACAAGAGCCAACAGCTTCAGCCGTTATGAACAAATTTAATGAAAATACATGTAAAATCGAAATATCTAATAAAAAACGCGAGAATTCCAACTAAGCATGTGATTTAAAATGTAAACAATTTCATTGGAAAATTAATACTAATAATGCTAATGTGTAAATTTACATTCTATTTAAGCTGCGCGTGGCACAGCGTTTAATTTTTTTTTCAAGATAAAAAATGGATATACAAATTCCAGATTTAGAGTCTTATATTAGACAACAATTGTCAACTCGTATTATGTATCTTGATGGTGGTATGGCTACAGTCATACAACAACTAAAATTAACGGAAGATGATTTCAGAGGACAGAGATTTCTAAATCATCCTAAAGATCTCAAAGGAAATAACGATCTTTTGGTGTTAACACAGCCTCAACATATTAGAAATATTCATATAAAGTATTTAGAGGCTGGTGCTGATTTCGTTGAAACTAACACTTTTAGTAGTACTTCTATCAGTCAAGCAGATTATGCTTGTGAAAATTTGGCCTATGAATTAAACAAAGAAGCTGCTAAATTAGCCAAAGAAGCATGTCTTGAGGTGATCATTCCTTGAATTAATCACATATGTACATAGATATTTTTTAGAAAAAAAAATATTAACGATTCAATTCAGGTTACTGCACGTGATCCAACAAAACCTAGATTTGTCTGTGGTGCAATCGGTCCAACAAATCGTACGTGTTCTATCTCACCTTCAGTAGAAAATCCTGCTTATCGTAACGTTACTTTTGACGAATTGGTCGAGGCATATACGGAACAAACCAGAGGGCTTTTAGATGGTGGTTCTGATGCTATTTTAGTTGAAACTATTTTTGATACCTTAAATGCTAAAGTATTTTTTAGTCTATATAGAAAGAACTTATATTAATTAATGCACTTTTAAATAAATGGAACAATAATTTTAATGATTATTTATTTATGTGTTAAAGGCAGCTCTTTATGCAGTTGATACACTTTTTGAAGAAGGCGCATATAAACGAGTGCCGGTACTTATCTCTGGCACAATTGTAGATCTATCAGGACGTACTTTAAGTGGACAAACTGGAGAAGCGTTTGTTACAAGTGTTTCTCACACTCGACCTTTGGCGATAGGATTAAATTGTGCATTGGGTGCTGATCAAATGCGGCCATTTATTAGAAATATTGCAAATTTTACAAGTTCATATGTGCTCTGTTATCCAAACGCAGGTCTACCAAATACTTTTGGTGAATACGATGAAACACCAGAAATGATGGCAAAATCTATACATGAGTTTGCAAAAGAGGGTTTGATTAATATAGTAGGGGGTTGTTGTGGTACCACACCTCAGCATATTGAAGCCATCGTAAAAGTATGTTCTCAATATAAGCCACGAGTCCCCCCGCCTGATATTAGTTTAGATAAGTTGGTTGTGGCTGGTTTACAAATTCTGAAAATTAATAAAGAAAGCAATTTTGTAAATGTGGGTGAAAGATGTAATGTTGCCGGTTCAAGGAAATTTGCCAAGCATGTGTTAAATGGCGAATTTGAAGAAGCCTTAGCCATAGCTAAAGCACAAGTTGAAAGTGGTGCACAAGTTATTGATGTTAATATGGATGAAGGAATGTTGGATGGTAAAGCTGCCATGACAAGGTTTTTAAATTTAATTGCAAGTGACCCGGATGTTTCAAAGGTGTAGTGCTCTTTTAAAATTATTTACAAATTATTATTATTATTGCTATTAAAATTACTTTAAAAAAAAAAAAGGAAAGAAAAATGGTTTTAACTTTACAAATTATCAATATTAATTTGATTATTTCAGTTACCAATAATGGTTGATTCATCAAATTTTGAGGTAGTTTTAGCAGGTTTAAAATGTGCACAGGGTAAATGTATAGTAAACAGTATTAGTTTGAAAGAGGGTGAGGCTGATTTTATTAAAAAAGCAAAAATTATTAAAAGGTTTGGAGCAGCAGTCATTGTTATGGCCGTAAGTTACAAGCAAAATCATGGTATTATTTTAAATTTCAAATTTAAATTTTCATTTACTCGACTTTGCTATTTAAAATAGTTTGATGAACAAGGTCAAGCAGATATTAAAGAACGTAAAATTGAAATTTGTACTCGGTCATATAATATATTAACAAAAACAGTTGGATTCAACAACAATGATGTTATTTTTGGTAACACTATTTACCTGTTTTTTTTTTTTGCTTAAATTTCAATAATATTAAAATCAACAATGGGGTTTAATTCTTAAAAATTAGATCCAAATATTTTGACAATATGTACCGGTATGGAAGAACACAATAACTATGGAGTAGAATTTATTGAGGCTGCTAAACTTATTAAAGAAACTTTACCTGGAGCAAAAGTAATCAATTGTATTTCATTATTTTAGAATTAAATGAATTCCAAAAAATTTATTTTAATTTCTAACTATATATTTTATGTACATAACGATAAAATAGATTAGTGGTGGTGTATCAAATTTATCATTTTCATTTCGTGGAATGGGCAAAATTAGAGAAGCTATGCATAGTGTCTTCCTTTTTCATGCGATCAAAGCAGGTATTTTTAATTAAAAATAATCAGTAATTTCTTAATATCTTATTTACACACACATATATAATAATGTTTGCTTATTTATTAAATTATTTATTTTAATATAAATTAGGTCTTGATATGGGCATTGTTAATGCAGGCTTTTTGACTATTTATGATGAAATACCAAAAGATCTATTGGAATTATGTGAAAATGCGGTTTGGAATAAAGATCCTGATGTTACAGAAAAAATTTTAAGTTATGCTCAGAAATTTGGTAAAGATTCTAAAAAAGAAACAGAAGAAGAAGAATGGAGAAAGTTAGATGTAAAAAAAAGAATTTCCCCCGCTTTAGGCAAGGGTAATGTTAAATATATTGTTGAGGATACTGAAGAAGCTGGCAACTGGTAAAAACTAGCATATTCTTATTTTTATTTAATAAAAATTGTTACTTATAATAATTATATATATTAGTTGGGAAAGCCCTTAAGTGTTATTGAGGGACCGTTAATGGATGGCATGAGTACAGTTGGCGATTTGTTTGGAGCAGGTTCGTTAATATTGTTTATGCTTATGTATATAAATAATCAATTATAACTTGTTAAATTATTTAGATTTATGTGCACATTTTTTTATATTAAATAATAGGAAAAATGTTTTTACCACAGGTTATCAAATCTGCAAGGTAAAAATACATCTATTTACTTTTTAATAAATGTTTATTCGATCAAAAAAAATTTTTTTATTTAACACTATTTTAAAACAATAAAAAAGAGTAATGAAAAAGGCAGTGGCTTATTTGATTCCAATTATGGAAGAAGAAAGGCAAGCCGGACTTGTTGCAAATCCTGATGCTGAAGATACAGGTCCACAAAATGCAGGAGTTGTAGTGATAGCTACTGTAAAAGGAGATGTACATGATATTGGAAAAAATATTGTTGCAGTTGTACTTGGTTGTAATAACTACAAGGTATTAATAATATATGTGTGTGCGCGTATATACCATATGATTGTTAAAATTCTATTTCAAAAGAAATAAGCCCAATAATCAATATCAATATCAATAATCTAGGTTATTGATTTGGGTGTTATGACACCGTGTGAAAAGATTATCGATACAGCAATAAAAGAAAAGGCTGATGTTATTGGGTTGTCAGGATTAATTACTCCATCGTTGGATGAAATGATTACAGTTGCTAGAGAAATGGAAAAACGTCAATTAAAAGTATTTTTTCGCCATATTAATGATAAATCTTTTTTTTAAGTTTTTCTTTAGCAATATATTTAAAATTTTATCAATTTGGTAGGTTCCATTATTAATCGGTGGCGCTACTACGTCAAAGGCTCATACTGCAGTTAAGATATCTCCACAATATAGTCAACCTACCATTCATGTATTAGACGCATCGAAAAGTGTTGTAGTGGTTTGTATATATGAAGAAATTCTGTGATTATAAGCATTCAATTTTAAACAAAATTTTAAAATATTTATGTCAAAATTTTAGGTTTCCAATTTATTAGATCCAAAATCGAAAGAAGATTTTTGGGATGATATAAGTGATGAATATTCGGAAATTAGAGAGGATCATTTTTCTTCATTAAAAGATAGAAAATATTTATCATTAAATTCAGCTAGAGAAAAAAAGTTCCAAATTGATTGGTCTATACAAAAACCTACAAAACCTAACCTTATCGGTAAAAGAATTTTTGAAAATTATGACTTAAAGAGAATATCTGAATATATTGATTGGAATCCATTCTTTCAAGTCTGGTAATTATTGTCGTCCTAATATTATATGATAGTCGTGTTGATTTTTTCATAATGTAAAAAATTTTTTTTTGATAGGCAGTTGAGAGGAAGGTATCCTAATCGAGGATTTCCAAAAATATTTAATGATGAACATGTTGGTAAGCTTACAAATGAATTTTTTTTTAAATTTCCTGTTTTTTAATAGTTAAATAAGTATATGTTTCTCATTTACACTGTATCTATTAACGTTCAAATGTTAATAGGGGCTGAAGCTAAAAAAATTTACGAAGAAGCACGCATTCTTATTAAAAATATTATCGATAATAAATCATTTAATGCTAGAGGAATAGTTGGAATATATCCTGGTAAGCATATTTTTCTTATATTTTCAATTTAAATACTATTAATAATATTTATTATTTAAAATAATAGCGAACAGTGTTGACGATGATATTCAGGTATTTTGCATATTACAATTAACTTAATTAATATCATTATTATTAAGTAATGAAAATTTTATTATTTTGTTTAGGTTTATGAAGATGAAAATAGGAGCAAGGTTGCTTGCACTTTCTTTGGGTTAAGGTAATTTTTATTTAACGGGGCTATTTTCATTAAAAAAAAAATAACCGAAAAATTTTTTTTTAGGCAACAAGCAGAAAAGGAACAGAGCGAACCATATTTTTGTTTATCAGATTTTATAGCACCAAAATCAACCAATATCCCTGATTATTTAGGGCTCTTTGCAGTTGGAATATTTGGTGCAGAAGATTTAGCTAAAAAATTTGAGACGGATCATGATGATTACAATGTCATTATGACAAAAGCAATAGCAGATCGATTTGTCGAGGCTTTTGCAGAATGTTTACACGAAGATATGCGTAAAACTATATGGGGATATTGTCCTGATGAAGATTTGACTTTAAGCGACATGTTAAGTGTTAAATATAAAGGGATTAGACCCGCGCCAGCTTATCCTTCTCAGCCAGACCATAGGGAAAAGATTACAATGTGGAAATTTTTAAATATTAAAGAAGAAACTGGAATTGATTTAACAGAAGGATTAGCCATGTTACCTGCAGCAAGTGTATCAGGTAATTTGAAAATATATAAATTTCTTTTTTATATATATATAGATTATTTTCACTTTCTATATTTAACTCTATTATTATTTAGCACTTGTATTTGGAAACCCAGAATCGCAATATTTCTCAGTAGGAAAAATTGAAAAAGACCAAGTAAAATTTTAAAAAAGTTTTTTATTTTTATTAATTATTTTTTAATAAGATTTCATGAAATATTATTCAAATGATTTTTAGGTTACGAGTTACACAGAACGCATTGGGAAAGATTTAGAAGAAACTGAAAAGTGGTTAGGGTCTATTTTAAATTACGGTAATTTATAATTTTTCCTTTGATTCAATAACTGATTAATGAATAAAAATATGCTGCTAATCTTTTCGATCTTAACATTAGTGTGATTTTACTTCTAGTCGCCATAGGCCAAATTTCAATTTTTTGTGCAATAAACAAGTATCTAATTCTGGTCTTTGAATACAATATTATTTTCTATAAATTTACATAAAAACATTTTAAAAAATATTCTATTATGATATTACAGTCAACCCCCCTAAGTGTACCTCCCTTGGGAATGAGTGGGAGTGTGCATTTAAGGAGGGTGTGCATTTAGGGAATTAAAGCATTTTATTGGCTGCACATATTGGTGACTCATGTGACACTAATTAAAAATTTTAAATTACAAAAAAAAAATTCAAAACATGAATCCTACCTATTGTAATTTGTTCCATTGTATTAAGTTAATTCGTAATCCGTGAAACAACTGCAAAAATTTGCCGATCATTAATATGTTTTTGTAGCGATAATAATTTTCAGGAGTTTTGAGAATCTGACATTACCTCACGCGACCAACGTGAGTCAAGAAAATTACGCGACCGCGATAAATTTTTTTTTATTTTAAAAAGAAAAATTATATTTTTTAAGCATAAGCTTTTTCATTTTTTTAATAAAAACACAAAATAATAATGAGTAAAAGGAAAAGTTACCCAGTTTCTTTGATAACTCTTGGCCATTTGAAAGAAAATTTACATTTTGGTGATTTTTCTCAATATTGGTGGGAGACCAGACAAACTGATAATGATTCTATTTTATATCCTATTAGAATAAATATGAAAACATTAGTTATACTTAATAAAACACATTTTTTTATCACAATTATTGAAGGCCATAAAGATTGTTTACATAAACCTGGCTATATATGTGAAGCAAATAATTTAACAAGTGATATTTTTGATAATGTTTCAGCTGCTGTAACTACACTTTATAAGCAGTTGTTTCCTTCTTCTGAAACAAAATTCTCAGGACCTCTTATCATAGGACATGATAAACCAGAAATTAATAATCAATTGTTAACAGATGTAATATTTTGTCCATTTAATTGCATGTACAATAAATTCACAATATTTATTTATGGAATTGGTGTGTCCTCAGATGATGGAATGTGTAATGTAGGTCCAGGATTTAAGTCTTCTTTTGTTTGTGTAATAGGGTTTGAGAAAAAGAAGACATTATTTGTACAAGAGATAAATTATAAAAACTCCATTGTAAAAATTTATCAAGATCATAAATTGATGTCTACACATGTTGGTAGTAACCCAAATGATGTGTGGGAAAAGGTTGGATATTTAAAAAACCACAAAGGTATTGACTTATTTGGCATCAATCAATCTCAAGTTCAATCATTCATTCAAACAATATGTGTAGTACCTAAATGCTTGCCTGAAGAATGGAATATTGCTAGCAAAATGGAACATTTATGGAATTATCACTTACGAAAATGTACATTAGCTTCAGTACCATGGAATGAATTTTTTATTGAATGGTACAATGACAAAAAAACAATCATTGAAATCACCACTGCTTTAAAAAAAATCTATCCACCAAACCATGAATTTAAAGAAAGAGAAATGCGAGCATGGAGAGCTATGTTATCTCATTCTGGATGTACAAATATAACACCATACAGTAATGATATATCAGCAGTAAGCCATTTTATGGTTTAAAATAAATTCTACTAGTAATTAATTGGTTTAAAATATTACTTAACTTTGATTTTTTATTGATAGTATGAATTTTGGACAAGATCCACCAATCCAACATATGATTGTGAAAATTTACAATTTCTATTTGATTCAGGGTTTTTGAATCCATTTCCTAAAGAACATTGCAATGATGGTGAAATTTTATGGAATTGTTTTAATCAATCTATAAAAGCAAATGGAAAAGGTTATAATGGAAAAAAAAGAATCCTTTCCATTATAGCAGAAAAATTTCCCTATAGAGTTATAATGGATAAATTGAAAGTAAGAATTAAAATATAAAAAATCAGTACCATTTAAATTACCTTGATATAATTATTCTTTTATAATTCATTATAGGTGTCACAAGGTACAATTCTTGAAGCTAAAAAATATGCACAAATTAATGGCCCTGGTTGTGCAGCAATAGAAAAGCCCATTATAAAAAGAAAAAAAATTACAGATGAACAAGGAAAACAATTTGATACCTTTTTTCAAGATAAAGCACATGTCATAATGAGTTCGTATAAAACTGACGCTAAAACAAACCAACCAGTACTATACCTAAAAAATACAAAAAGTGCATTATGGGAAAAATTCAACCATACTTATCCGAATGGCATCAAAAGATCAACTTTTTACACTAAACTCATGGGTAATCAGTATGTTTATAGAGAAGATCTTGGAGGGTTGTGTTCTACATGTAGCACATATGGGTATGAAACATTTGAAGATATTATGAATCTAATTAAAGAAAAAATAAATAATGTGGGATTGCAGGTATAATTTAATAAACCATGAATAAATTACATGATTGTGATTAATACTAATAATTCATTAAATAATAAATTAATTTAGAATACCTTTTCCCAGCGCTGTCAATTATTACAAAGATTCTTGAAAAAGGAATATGAGCAACATTTAGTGGTAACTGATCGTGGAATGGCTTCTCATGACATATGCATAAACCATTGTCTACCATATGCATTTGGTGAATGTAATGCTTCACATACTTATGCCTGTGAGAAATGTCAAGAATTATTTGCATTTTTTAAAGATCTAAAAGCAAACCTAAATACCTCTCATGAAGAAATTCATGAATATCAAAATCATTTGCTCTACTACATTTCACATCAGACCAGAAAAGTCTACTTGAATGCACAATTTAATGCTGCTCTTTTGGATCTAGATGAAAATGGTGCAATAATAGTGGTGGATTATAAAATGAAAATATTGCCCAAAACTTCACGTGAGACCAAGCAGGAGTTTTTTGGGAAGAAAGGCTGGACATTACATACAGTTTTGTTGTATACTAAATCAATGGAGGATACTGATATAAATATCCAAGCTATAGATCATTGGTCTACAGATGCTTGTCAAGATGCCTGGTTTACAGCATCTTCGTTACATTCTGTAGTGGAGAATTTAGAAATAAAACCAAAATGGGTTAGTATTATTTCTGATAATGGCCCATTATCATAATTCAGAGCTTATGATTATTATGAGTAAATGGAATGAATGGTATGGAATTCAAGTAAAAAAATGGATATTCTTGGAAGCAGGTGAAGCCAAAACATCTGTGGACTCTCATCATGCTCAGGTTTGAAATTTAAAGCAATATAAAAATAATTTTTAAAAAAGATGCTAATAATGATTAATTAGATATCACTTTCAATTAAACGGCATGTTCAAATTGGTGGAGAAATTCAAGAAGGAAAAGATATTACCTCAGCTATTGAAAATGTTGCAGGAACTTCAGTTGCTCATATAGAGCCAAACCGTGTGAGAGGTAAGTTCTGAGTTATATAAACAAAAAAAATAAATTGGAAAAAATTTAGTTATAATAAATGATGATAATTTGTATTACCTCAGATAAAAAAGAAAAAGAAAAATCTATGACCATACCTGGTATATCCAATTGGTTTGAATGGAGTTGGCCAATTGAAGG